TGTCTGAAATAAATGCAATTTTAAAGTTTTAATTATTATTTAAACATATTAAAAAGTTTTACGCTCATTATTAATAGAGATTGAAACTAAATATTTTTTTGTTTCGAAGTTGAAATCAAGGCATATTCACTGCCAAAGTTCAGTTAAAAATTTTCCATATTATTCGTTATTTCTTATTTTATTCAAAGTTTTTGGTCAAATTCCAAATTTTCTCAAACCGTATACTTTTTTTTAGTATAAATAGTATTTATTTACCTCATGATATGCTGCAAAACCTAATTAATCACGAATTTCTAATTTTATGTACTCTTGTCTCCGATTGTACCTCCCAAACACCCTTAATACTGCACGATAAAATATAGGATGACAACTGTTTTTATCCCTAACAATATTTTACGATTTCTCTAAAACACTATTAGTGAAAAACAACAACAATTTCGCTTTCTTAGTCACCCTAAATAATATGAAAGTTACTCATAAAATTCCTTATATTTTGACTGGCCAAGATAGCAGGGTATATGGACATATAAAGGGAAAATCGCATTGCAATTGCACTATCTGATCCTTACAGCATATTTTTTGTGAAACTTTTAATTTTCTGCTTTAAAAGTAAATCGCTTAACAATTCAGACTATTCTGACACATCATGTGCGATGCTAAAAAAGAATCGATTCTTTTTATAGTTTTCATTTATTGCATCTCAATTGCTTACCTGATTGTTATTCTTATCTCACATTTTTGAAAATGCGTTAATTATTTTAAACTGCTCACTGTTGTGCTAATTGTAACAATTCGTGACATTTTAATTAATTACTTTTTTACGCCTCTTAATTACCAATTGATTTGTAAGAAAGCAGCGTGAAAATTGAATGATAAACAGTGAGAAGAAATTCGTGAAAGTTTTTGGCAACTGTTACATAAAATGCAAATTGCTGCTCCATCACGTTCCAGTTTTGGCGATGTGAATTTAAATCACCAATGGTAATTTACAGTGGCCTGGTGTTCTGTTACTGTTTTATTGTTTTATTGTACTCATAAAAGCTGTCTAAGCCCGTAGGAGTTAGACAATCATACATTTATTGCATAATTTTCAACATAGAATTAAATCTGAACATATATAAATGCCGTATCCATTTTACCACTAATTCGCTACTTACTATTATTATTATTATTACAAGTTCTTCCCCCCTATTAGTCACTGTGAGCTCGAAACTGTTACCACTACTTCACTTTTGTCAACAATTTGTTTAATCACTTTCTTTGTGTTTAAAATTGCTTGAAAAATTAAATTTAACGGAATTGTTTGTAAATGGATATGCAACACATCGTACACTTCAGCATAAGAAATTGCTGATACTAACTACGTAAATAATATTATACTTATACTCTTGGTAATAGGCATTTCCCGAAACAATTGTCAAACGATTTTGGATAAATCCTAAAAATAAAACTAAAAATTATAATATACACATTATACTAATGTAGATATACGTGTAAACCAGAAAGATGTAAGCAGAATTAAAAGTAGCGATATGTTTTATTATAATTGGTTGCCACATACTCTTTGTAACGTTATGTTATCGTAAAATCTAGAACAGCGGTCCCAAATGACATTCCGCGGATCCTGGCGTTTCATGGAAGGGTCTTACAGGTTCCGCAAGATACAGCGTCTTTATCTCAATAAAAATATTCAAAATTTTGCGAAAAGCAATCGTTCTGTATTTAATCGTAACAACGACATATGTTACATAACCAAACCAGTAATGAAGGCCGAACCCTAAAGCTGTTCATTGTATGACAGAGACGAAGATCGCTATTTTTGTTAAAAAAACAGACCGCGATGCCAAATGATAGGGTGGGACATCCGGTCTTAGGTGAAGATACAATGAATCGTATACAATTGTTCATTAGTACATTCCTGTTTCCCCGACAAAATATCCCCAAGACAAATTTTTGTCTTAGGGATATTTAGTTTGGAGATTTTTTGTTGGGGATAGTTTGTGAGGGGATCAATACACCTGATACCCAATTATTACCTTTCTAATATTGATTTAACGCAAAAATCTACTGTGAAAAATCTGGGGGTGTGGTTCAACGAATCTAGATTTCAATACGAACTCATTATCCTCATTTAAGAAGTCCTTACAGGAACTTCTCTTTTGTGAATGATAAATAATTGAAATTTACATACTGTACGTTAATCATCATTTCTATTGTATAAATAAATAAACGTATCTACATCAAAGCCAAACAAACTAAGTTTTTCAACATAATTCAGTAGGTATAGATTTAGATATGAATCATTTTTGGACTTTTTTCCTTTACTTGTGCTATAATGCCTTCTCTTGGACCAAGTTTCAATATTGCGAGGCGATAAATAAACAATAACTCGTTAAAAACTATAGATTCGCTACTCATTATTATCCTTTAGATTAAACAGGTATTAGGTATAATTATTGTAATTTATTAACTACGGCTCTGTTGTTTGACTGAATACAGCTCTGTTGTTCTTCTCTAAGGAATTCGGCAAAAAAAGTGTAGCTTATGATAAGAAAATGTGTGTATTATATATAAATCTATTTATGTCAGTCTCGATTAAGAGTTACGTGAAGTGTATCTTTAAGTCTGTCGAATTATCCTTAAGGATCAAATGTGCTGCTGTATTGCATTTGTTTATATTTAGGAGGTAACTATTGTGACTTTTTATAAACAATTTGTCAAATTATGTGTACACAAAAGTTTTACTTTGATATATCTCATTTTCTACAGATTTAGATAAAATTTTCGTCCTTCTACCACAGAGAAGGATAATCTTCTTCAATTTGGATTTCAAATATGTATTTGATTGCGGTTTCGAATGTACTTTACACAACCCAAAAAAAGAATTTCATCGTATTCTCTGAAATAGCAATAAACTTTCCTACTCTAATTTTCTTGAAATTTCAGTTCAGAGTGCGGATTAAGACTATAAATATAGTTAGCAACCCAACCCAACGTTTAGCTACCCAAATCTACCAAAAATAAGTTTTTTTTGTGACCCACATTGCTGTAAACAAATGAAGTGTACGGTAACGAAAACACTCACGTCTGAATGTTATCATTTCCTACCGTAACCTAGCCTAACCTTACAGGACAATGCTTTAACTGCTTCTTCTCTTCTTAGCATTTCTAGTAAAAGTTGAGCATTAAAGAGTAGAAGAAAATTCATTAAAACAAAATAACTCTCATATTTAATAAGTAATAATGCCTATAGCTGCAATATCTAGAAGGTATTGAAATTTCAATACCAAATTTGCACAACTTAAAACCAGTAAAACATACTTTCTTAATGGAATTCCTTGTATATTTTAATACACGTAAGTGCTCACAATTAACATATAACGTATTTTAAAGTACATTTGACAACACTAAAATGTTTAGAAATTGATACCAATACAGCTCTCAATACTATTAATTTTAGTAAATTTTACTGTTACATCCTTCATGTACTTCAATTTCCCATAATAAATAATAGCTTTACAAGTAACAAGTCAATAATTGGACTGACTTCTACAGTATTAGATTAATTCAGCTCTGACCCTCTTTATTCCTACTTTTGCTTCTAGTATCCCTTCAACTAGTCCTTCGTGTCTCAGAAAACGTGATGCTCTTTACAAAACTTCTTCTTCATGATTCGCCTATAACACCACATTAAAATTAAAAAGAATATATAAATATTAAAAACGTACTAAATATTATTGTATCTATATTTCAGAACAATTAAGTGCAGTGATGAGAACTATTTCAACATTCCATGAGAGAGGAAAGTTTCCAAGATTTCAGGTAGGTGATGCTTTATATTCGGGGATGAATAATAATAAGTGAAACGGATTTTATTTTGAATTACTGAGTAAATATGTATTTGTTTCAGGTAAGTGGAATATGTTGTGCATGATAGAGGAAGTTATTGAAGTTATATCGTGGGTAAGGTTTAGTAATCCAAACTTAAAAATAAAAGCGAAGTAATAAAAATAACGGTATCAGAATATCACTTAGATGTTCACCTGACTCTTATTGCAATATTCGTCGAACATCCCACAGTACCCCAATTACTTTTTAATTGTGAAAGTGAAATTGATTTTATACATCAAACATAAAAAAAACAAAAATTGAAGAAAAGCATTCCCAAATAAAAATTGTAAGTCAGTGTCTTTTCTAAATAAAATTTAATTTTTAAAGTACCTGTTGTATGTTTTAGAGCATCAGTTCCTTTGGAAAGGTAAAATAGTACATTATCATCATAAGGTCGTTAGTCCTAAAACTGGTTGGACACGTACCTCTACAAATCTTCGCATTTCCCTAAAACTAGAACAACCCACATTCTTAACTATTTGTGAACAGTAATCTAATCTAAGTCTACGTCTACCTCTCCTAACTTCCGTTTCTGCCTGTAATATGTCTCTGGCTAGACCTTCATGCCCGAGTAGAAGAAGAAATATCTACTTTCGTGCAATTTTTGTATCTTAAAAAAAAGCATTTACGTTTAGAGAAGAATTGTTATCAATATATTACTGTTTAAAGGCGAGCCTCGTAGAGAACACTTATTCAAGACTTTTGATGACTTTGTAACAAAATCAAACATTGCCTGGTTATGATAATGTGGTATCTCTTCAACTGACGGGACCCCAGAAAAGAGACTAACAAAGAGAATGAAGAATAAAAATGCTAGGATACAATCCTGTCAGTGCATAATTGATTGATTGCTAGCTCGATCAGGTGTGATTCTGATTGTTTAGCTCCATTTATGCTTGTGAATATCTTCAAAAATAAATTTTTTGAAGAACAGATATCTTTAAGGACTGTAAATGTAATTTTTCCCACTAAGTTTTGAATAGGAATATGTCTATCTGTATTTCATATTATTCTGTAAAATTAAAATATAAATTGGTAAGGAATACGATTTTTTTCTGGACTTCAGTAAAATTTTTAAAAATACCTCACCTAAAATTACTTGCCGGACCTTGGTATAATAGGGTTAAGATGCTGTGTCAATTCCTAACTTTTATAAAGGAACCATCTTGATCAAAAAGCTGATTTAAATATTACAAAAACATTGATTCCACACAAAGTCAAGCCTTTGAAGATTTCTTAATGCATGAATAATAAATAATAACTAATCTACTACGATACTGTATGAAATTCAATATTAGTCTTAAGGTCGTAACAGAAAACTTACGGAAGTTTAATATTTTGTTACATTTATTAAATTTGCCTAACGATTAATAGACATACACATAAAANAAGGGTAACAGTAACATTCATTAAATTAAGAAGGTTTTACGTTACCAGGGTTTGAATTATCGACGTTCTACTGTCTGTAGTTTAACATTAACTTTTCTGTTGTTTACTTTTAGATCCTTGCTATCGTTACCCTGTGCGTTGCCACAGTTTATGGAGGAGTCTTGGCCCCAGCACCTCTGGCGTTTCCCCCACCTCCTGTAGCATATGCAGCAGCTCCAGGCTTAGCCCTGCCACCCCCACCACCATTAGCCTATGCCGCTGCACCAGCTCTCGCTTACCCACCACCACCCCCACTAGCTTATGCAGCTGGTCCAGCTTACGGTCTTCCACCCCCACCACCTCTAGCCTACAGTGCTGCCTTTCCTTGGTAAAATCCCTTATGATTAAAAGAAATATTCCACTGTATAAACAATGTAGATATGACACTGTAAATAAATATACTTATGTATAAACTTCCTTGAACGATGTCGTTTTTACAAAATTTGCGTTTAGACTAAGCAAGCAACAAGTTAAATACAAATATTAGATATATAGTGTTCGTTCGGGATAAACAACGATTTAAAAAATGAAAAAAGAGTCACCCTAATTCACCACCGAGATTAATAAATTCCACAAATTTCCAACGACGGCCCCCATGGGACATCAGTGGTAACACATCAACGCTCCTTAGGCAGTCAAGAAGAATATGATTATAATAAACTTTTTCATGACAATAAAACTGTTTTTATTCAATTTAAATACAATTGAAAAAACTTTAACGTATTTGAATTTAAGACTTAGGTACTTCGTTTCGCTTCACCCACTACTTGTTTTATAAATAACAAGCATTATGAAAAATCAGGTAGAACTATTTAATTTTGTGATTTGTATTATTATGCGCCATTATTTCGTGGTAAACAATTACCATCAAAGAACCTAAAGATACTAATATCATAAATGTGCACAAAATAAAAGTTCCCGATCAATATTATTGAAAATTTATGAATTAGTTGGACTTTTCCGGTGAATAAAATTGATTACTGTACAACTCCTACGTTTCGCTCACGATTGTGAGCTTTCTCAAAGAATCGACCTGTAGGAATTGTATAATAGTTCTTTTTCTTTCGAAAAGTAAGGAATTCATAAATTTTCAATAACAATTTTACGTTTAAAAATGTCAAAAGTTAATGTTAATTCATTCGTATAAGCGTGAAATGTATGTAAGTACTTATATTTTAAGTGTTTTGAATGCAAATTGGCTGAATTTCGACCACACTCGAAAATATATATGATTAATATATTATGTTTAATGGAGTATCAAGAAATAATTGTGAATTAGGTACCCAGTACAAAAAATGACTTTATTAACAAAAAGAATCAATTTGGCACATAAAACATGACACTTAAAAAAATAATAATTTTCTTTCTTCTTCCTCTTCCTTTACCAAATCTTCAAAGCAGCTGGAGCAATTGGAAGAGCAGCTTTGGCGAGTAATGGAACTGGACCAATGGCAGGCAAAGCAAGTGGAGCGGGAGCCAAAATTGGAGCTGGGGCCAAAAGTGGTGCTGGTGCTATGGCAAGTGGAGCAGGAGCCAAAAGTGGTGCTCCAATAAGACCTCCATGAGCGGTGGCGAAAATAAGAACCACAACAGCAAATACCTAGAACAAGAAAATGATAAAACTGAAAAAGGTCTCAACACAATTTCTTGGTAATACTCCAACGAATTGCTTGAATCTGACGGACTTTAACAGCAATAATATTTTTCTATAAAGGCTTAATGATTCTTAAAAGTGAATATAAAAGAAATATTTGATTATTTCTTTGAAAAAATGATACTTAAATGTTGTATTGCATTGAAGTCAAGGAGAATCACACTGACAATGAAGAAAGAACTGCTTCCTAAAAACTTAATAGATAAATATGGATTAATGCAGATTTTAAAGATCTCCAATACCCATATTGAAAATGAAAAGTAAAACTATTCTACTAAAACTTGAATGTTGATTTAGAAAAATTAGTTATAACGAATGTATAGGCGTATGCGCACATAAAATAAATCAGATGAGAATGAATTAAACAAATAATAAAATACCTACGTTTAATTTATATTGGGATATAAAATCTCGAATAATTCATGGTTTTTGAACCTTCCTTTAAATTTTGTTCTTTAAATAATTTGGAATAAGGTGAATGTAAAAATGAAATTTAAGGATGTTGTCGAAGGATATAGAAAATAAACACCAAATGTAAATATCTGCTAAGAATATGCTAAAACTGGAAAATACAAGAGCGAAAGTTTTTTAATTTTACCAGTTGGTTTACACATAAAGTATTTTCAAAATAAAATCTTTATTTATAAT